TTCCGTGGTTTCGCAAGTTTGAACTCACGTTGCAACTGCACCTCGTCAGCGAGTGCAAGCACCACGCGTACTTATACTCCCAGTCGGGAGGCGCTTGTCAGGCATGGCTGGACAATCTCTTGTCCGAGTACGGGGTGGTCGCTGYCGAGTTACACACGAAGATCAGCTGGGAAGACCTCAAGGCGGCGTGGCACAAGCGGTTCCAAGTGGAGCCGCCRGAGATCAAGGCCATGGACAAGCTCATGACCTTCGAGCAAGGCTCGCTGCCAAGCGTCGACTGGATTGCCGAGTACCAACGCTTGACATCCGTCCCAGGTCTCCCGATGGGCTTCAAAGCCATCAAGCACTACTTCATTTCGAGGTCGTGCCCGATGTTGAGCAACGCCTTGACGCATGTCGAGGACACAATGACAACGACGGCGGAACTGTTCGACAAGGCCGCAGATTATCATCACGAATAAGGAGGCGAAGAACCTCACTCGTGCTGTGGCAGGCCCGAGCAAGGACCAGCATCGGCCYAAGGTGGCCGTGGTTGCGGCGGCATCGCCAAGCAGCCAATCTAGCGAGGCGGAGTCTGCCAATGAAGGAGACAGACTCGCAGCTGCCCGGGATGGTGGTCGCCCCGGCCGAGGCCGAGGACGCGGCAAATCGAARACAAACATCACATCAAACCCCGGGCCCGGCGCAGCAGTTCAGGGGCCCTGGACCCCTTACGGTATTTCGGAGCAAGCTTACAAGCAACGCACGAAGTACCGTTACTGCCTGTGGTGCAACAGCGACTGCCACGAGACAGCGGGCTGCCCTACCAAGGGGAAGGGCAAGCAGGGAAACTGAGCGCCGCCGAGAGTGAGTCGACGACTCTCTCGACGCCTTCGTAATCGGTTTCTTCGCGAGTGACCGGCCTTCATTCCGGGGCGCATGCGGAAGTGGACAGTCCTCTTCTCTATTGTTTTGAGGACTATGCTGCCCGGCTCGTTCCGGCGCTGGGATCTTTTGCTCAAGGACAAGACGTGTGTGCGGCATCTTCTCCGTCCGACAACGGTTCTTCTTCGTCTTCAAGTGGTTCTTCACGGGATTCGGCGCGCGGGTTCAACATAGAGGAATTGGACCCGCTCAAGTCTGGGGATTTCGCATGGCTTCCTYTCCCGACCACGGGCCGCTTACCGGGACCGCAATGCGCAACACTTTGTGCCCATCTTCACAAGTACTTGTCCTTCTATGCACCACCAACTTCGCCGACGGATGACGAAGTCGCKGTRGGGGACATCTTGGCATATGTTACCAAGGTGGCCCGCGAGTTTCGCACGCAGCGGTACGACGACAATAATGCACCGCTGATGTATGTCCGCATCCAAGTTGGGCAGGCGTCCTGCAGCGCTTTGCYRGATAGCGGCGYGACTCGCAACTTCATGAGCCAAGCTTTTATGCAAAGGGCTGGCCTCGGCGCGCAGGTTCGGAGGAAGGCAAACTCGACAGCGATCAAGTTGGYGGATGGAAAGACGCAGCAACTTCTCGACCGTTAATTCGAGGCCGTACCGGTGTACTAAGCACCTCATGCATGCGAACCGGTCACGTTCGACATCTTGGACACGGACTTCGATATCAATCTGGGAATGCCTTGGCTTGCAAGTGCGGATCACACAGTCAACTTTCACTAGCGGATTCTCACCGATCACGACGCCTTCGGCGCCGAGGTGCTGTTTACTATTCCTCTTCCACACCCTTCCATCCGGTGCCAAGTCGTGACGGCCAAATCGTTCCGAACTACATGTGCATATGAGCAACCCGAAGAGATAGGCCTATGTTTCTTGCGGACTAGCGCGGTAGCCGACTCTTCACCATCGGACTTGTCTTCGGACCCCCGCGTGGTACGGCTGCTTGATGAGTTCGCCGACATCTTCGAGTCACCTTCCGGTGTGGTGCTGGATCGGCCGATCTCTCACGAGATCATTCTTGAGGCCAGTGCCGTGCCGTCGAAAGGTTGCATCTATCGGATGAGCGAGGAGGAACAGGAGGTCCTTCGTGCACAACTCGACGACTTGTTGGCCAAGGGCTGGATCCGCCCTAGCAGCTCCCCATATGGAGCACCAGTTCTCTTCGTAAGGAAGAAGAACAAGGATCTACCTCTATGCATCGACTACCGCAAGCTCAACGCGCAAACTGTGAAAAATGCGGGGCCTCTTTCTCGTATCGACGATCTTCTTGAGCGACTGAGCGGTGCTAAGTTCTTTTCTAAGTTAGACTTGAAGTCGGGGTATCATCAGATTTCGATACGCCCGAATGATTGCTACAAGACCGCATTCAAGACACGGTATGGGCATTTTGAGTGGGTGGTCATGCCTTTTGGCCTCACCAATGCCCCGGCAACCTTCCAGGCGGCCATGACCCACGAGTTTCGTGCTATGTTGGATCGGTTCGTGCTGGTCTACCTAGACGACATTCTCTTCTACAGCCGGACTCTGGAGGACCATCTTGAGCATCTTCGAGGTGTGTTGGAGACGCTCCGCCGTGCCAAGTACCAAGCCAACTGCGACAAGTGCGAGTTTGTCCGGCAAGAGCTTGAGTACTTGGGCCATTTTGTCACACCAGAGGGCATCARCCCGCTATCAGAGAAAATTCAAGCCATCCAGGAGTGGCCGGAGCCGCGTAACGTCACGGATGTCCGTTCGTTTCTTGGTCTTGCCGGCTACTATCAGCGCTTCATCAAGGGCTATTCGAAGATCGCGGCCCACTTGACCAAGCTTCAATGCGAGGATCGGTGGTTTGACTTCGATGAGGATGCGCGGGAATCTTTCTTGGCTTTCAAAGCTGCACTTTTGTCAGCGGAGGTCTTGCGAATCTACGACGTGCTATTGCCCACACGCGTCACTACTGAAGCGTCTGGCTATGCTATTGGCACTGTCCTCGAGCAACACGATGGCGTGGACTGGCACCCGGTCGAGTATTTCTGCACGAAGGTGCCCGTCGTGCACTCTATTGATGACGCGAGGAAGAAGGAATTATTGGCCTTCGTACACGCACTCAAGCGCTGACGGCATTGCCTTCTTGGTAGACGGCAGTTCCGATGGGTAACGGAAAACAATCCGTTGGTCTTTTACAAGACCCAGGACAAAGTCAACAGCACCATTGCCCGGTGGATGGCCTTCATTGACCAGTTTGACTTCTTCCCCGATCACATTCCGGGCAAGTCAAACTGTTTTGCGGATGCTCTTTCATGACGTCTGGATCATTGCACCGCCGTCTATTCGACTTTCGAGATTGATAATGACTTGCGGGACAATTTTATCCCCGGCTACCAGGCCGACCCCGAGTTTCACGACAAGTACGCAAATTGTTCCTCGCCCAATCCGGCACCTTCTCACTATTGGCTCCAGGAGGGATATTTGCTTGTCCACTCGTGGGGGAAGGATCTTCTTTGCGTACCGAGTGACCCTCACTTGCGTACACGGCTTCTTGGCGAGTTCCACGATGCTCCCGCCACCGGACATTTTAGCGTCAATCAAACGATTGGCCGATTTCGCGAGCGATTTTTGTGGCCCGGTTTTCTCGACGACGTCACACGCTACTGCGAGTCATGCGAGATTTGCCGACGTTGCAAATCCCGCAATCATCGTCCGTATGGCGAGATGCGACCACTACCGGTTCCCTTGCGCCGACGGGAGGCGATTGCCATGGAYATCACTGGGCCATTCCCCAAGCACAAGACCGGTGTGGATGGGATTCTCACGGTAGTCGATCGACTCACCAAGTTTGCCATGTTTTTGCCTTGTMGCTATCATGCCAAGRCACCAGAGTTGGCTGAGGTTCTCTACRCCGGTTGGATTCGAACCAAGGGTTACCCCAAGGAAATCGTCTGCGACCGCGGCACTCGGTTCATGTCTGATTTTTGGTTGGCGCTCACCAAACGATGGGGCTCATCTCTCAAGCCTAGTTCAGCTCGCCACCCTCAGGCGGATGGCCAGACGGAGAGGGCGCACCAGACGGCACAGGTTCTCCTTCGCACTCTCATCCGTCCCGATTAGAAGGATTGGGTTGAGCGGCTGCCGGATGTCGAATTGGCCTACAATTCGTCCATCCACCCGACTATTGGGATGTCGCCTTTCGAGTTTGAGCATGGCTCTCCGRYCACTKCTCBGTTGGACACCATCGTTCCACGCACGGCCGAGAGCGACGACCATCTCCTTTTCTTGCGTCGGATGCAAGAGCTTTTTGTCAAGGCACGCAATCAAATGGCAAAGACGCAGCAACGCATGAGCTAGCAACCCAATCGCGAGCGTCTTCCTTGTCCATTCCGCGTCGGCGACCTCGTGTGGGTTTCCGCCGCGGAATTCAGCCTTGAGCAGGATATCTCTCACAAGCTGCTCCCGAAATGGATGGGGCCATGGCCGATTGTAGCACCTGAGGGACCTTCTTTCACAGTTCAGGTGTCCGCCCACTTGCCCGTTTACCCGGTTTTCCATTGCTCCAAGTTGGCGTTGTACACACCAGCACACCAGGATGACTTTCCCGGGCTACGATCGCAAGTCCCACCCTCTATGGACGGCTTTTAGGAGGTCGGTGACATCATTTCCCAGCGACGCTACGACAACAAGCCGACCGAGTATCTGGTACACTTTGCGTATTGCACCCACCGAGCCGACCGCTGGTTGACCCGTGCGGAAGTCCAAGCGACAGCTCCAGATGTTCTCGTACGGTATGAACGAAAGATGCAAGGCAAGCCGGTATCTTCGGCTCCACGCCGCAACTGCGTTCAGGTTCCACCTTCAGATCGTCGGTTGCGCCCTCGACCCGGCTTGACTTCATAAGCAGGGGGGGGTGTTACATGCTGCGCCTGTACAGGAGGGCCATTTGCCAGGCCCTGCGTCGTTCAGGCTGGAAGCTTGAATTTTGGGCTCAAGGCTTGGAAATAAGGGTCTGCGTACCCCATGACGGTTCATCCCAGAAGCCTAACATCAGGGCCCCACAGGCCGTGCGTCGTTTCAACCAAAAAAGGCTTGAGCCTTTTTAGCCTGAAACTGAGGGTTATTTTCGGGCCTGCAGACCCCATGACGGTTCAGCCCAAAAACCTGACATCCGGGGCCCACAGGCCTTGCATCGTTTCAGCCAAAAAAATGCCTGAGCCTTTTCAGCCTGAATCTGAGGGCTATTTCCGGGCCTACAGGCCCCATGACGGTTCAGCCCAAAAGCCTGACATCCGGGGCCCACAGGCCCTGCATCGTTTCAGCCTAAAA